CTCTAGCTGTTGCAGTTTGCCTGGCCCCTTTCACAGTCATGGACCAGTGGATGGTTTGGGGCAGTGATGCAGCTTGTGCACCCATCCACCACAACTCCACAATCTGTAGGTGATGGGGAGCTGGGGGGGGGGCAGCTGGGAGCCTGGCTGGGGAGGGAAGCAGGGGTATTTTCCTCTCTCCTCTGGGCTTGTGGTGGTCGCTGGGTGGGGTGAGTGTCCTGAGGTGAGCTAACCCTACTTTCCTTCTGCCTGCAGTGAGGTGAAAGCTCTTTGCCATCACATTGCCACTGAGGCAGGACAACTGAGCTTCAACAAAGGGGATATTCTGCAGGTCATCTCCAAGGTGGATGGTGACTGGCTGCAGTGCAGCCTTGGCTCCGAGAAGGGACTGGTGCCCATCATGTACGTCACCCACCCCGAGGACGAGGACTATTGACACGTTTAGGAGGCCAAGCACAGTTCCCTGGGCTGCTGAGGCTCCTCTGGGGTAGCCTACCCTGCCAGAGGAACAAACACAGCTTCTTGCTAGTTTCTTACCTTTCCTGCCATTACAGAATACAGTAACCGTAGGTGGTTCCTTCTTGCTCCTCCTTGTGCAGCTGCCAAAGGCCAACTTAGCCCCCCGGGCTCTTCTGCGAGCTGCACCTCCTATTGCCAGGCATCGCCATGCATGCAGCCACACCAGGGACCGCCTGACCCCCCCCTCCGCCCCACACTGTCTCCAGCACCCACAGGCCATGGACTTGTGCATTACAGGAACCCAAGCAGTCCCTGCCAGGGCAGCGCTGCCCCGCTGCCCAGCTCTTGGATGCTGGGGGGTGCAGGATGCTGGCTGTCCCCTCCCTGGGGGTGGCAGTGCAGTCTGCAGCCTCCAGCATCCCCGGCATCCTCAGCCGCAGGGGTGGGAGCAGCCTGCCTTGGCAGGGTCCCTGCGAGGCTGGCCTGATGGCTTGTGTTTATTGGGGCACTGCAAGGTAGGCTCCCCCACACTGGAGCATCCCTGTCCTAGTGTGCTGTAGCGGTTCCTGGAGGGCTCTACTGGGACAAGTGGCCTGGCAGTGCCACGCTGCAGGGCTGGGGCTGTGCGTGGCCACAGCCAGGGGAGGGGGACGGGGTACGTGTGTGAGTGTGGAGCAAAGGGGTGTGGGGGGGGTTGTGAGGAAGGCACGGGGTTGTTCAGTGTTATGTAGGTCCGGGATGGGTAGTGCCACCCTGTGCAGACATGGGTGCTGTGGGGGGAGGCCCTGTGCCCCACACACTGAGCAGGGAACCAGTGCCTGGGAAGCCCTGGGATGCTCAGTGGAGGGGCACTGGAGGGGAGGGAATGAGGGCAGGGTCCCTGACTGGGCTAGGGATTTGGGGGCAGTGCTCCCAGCAAGTAGATTGGGGGTGCTCCTAGAGGGAGCTGGGCAGCCTGGGGAGGGAGGGGTGGTGCTCCCTTTGGCACAGGGTTTCTGGTCTTGCTGAGCAGTGCCGTGGGGTGGGGGGGATAAGTGTTGTGCACAAACACAAGGGGATACTGGAGGTCCTGGGGTCCTTGGTAGAGGCAATGCCACTCAACCCCTTCCTTGCCATGTTCATGCCGCCTGCTGTAGTGGGGATCTTCACCTGCCTGTCAGGTGGGGAACAGTGTTAATGAAAGGCCATGCCAGTATTTGGTGCCATGGCCGGCTTGACGCTGTTCACAGCATCGTGCCTGGGCTGGCTTCACCATGGCAAGGGGCCCTGGTCTTGCTAGGTTACCTCCTGCTTGTACATCGCTTCGCGGATGTTGCACCGTATTTAATTTGTATTTCCCTGGTAGAATGAGGTGTCTCGCCTTTATTTATTTCTTTATTTATGATGCATATTAATAAAAAAGGTGCTGATTGAGCTCCCTGATCCCCAGACTTATCATTTCAGACTTACTGTGTCAACTGTGCATCCCTGTGAGGGGTCTGAAGGTTCCCCGTGCTGGGACACTGCACTGCAAGCTTCCTTCTGCATTCCCCATAGCCTACACCAGACCTTCAGGAGGACGTGGGTTGTCCTCAGCAGTCAGACCTGCCAGCTCAGGCCTGATGGGTGGAGGGAGTGGGCACTACAGATGATGGTATGTCTTGGGGAGGCAGGGCTGTTTGGGGTCCCTTGTGCATTGTTTGCAGACACCCAAGCAGGTTTCAGACAGGACATCACACAATCTCAGCCTGGGATCTGCTTCTCCTGGGTCATGGGAAGGTGAAGGTGGGGTTGTGGGCTGGGACCCATAGCCTGGGACATCCTGGCCATGAGTTCCAGTGGCTGTGGGTCACTCACAGGGAAAGACTCCAGGGGTTCCAAACTTAGACTCAAAACAATCATGGGGCCTCCAAGTCCACTAGGAACCCCAAGAGCCACCTCTTCTCTTTCCCTCTCAGAAGCTCAAAGGAAGAAGGGAAGAAGTCTGCTTGTGAATCCCGCCTTTGTTGCAAGAACACCGCTCTGGACTTTGTTGCATCCATGTGGACAAATGATCTGCACATGTGCAGTGCATCAAAACTGCTGAAAAAATCCACAACTGAAGCAGTATAAACCCCTGCTCTGTCTGGGAGCAGCAGAGAGCAGCCAGGGCCTGTACCTGAGCTGCTTTGTTTCAGCTCTCCGAGGGGGCAATGGTCAGGGCTGTTTACAAGGTTCATGGAGCCAGGCTGCTCTCCCTGCATGCTCTGGCTGGCCCAAAACAAGGAAGGGGCCCATGTGCTGGCAAACAGTCCCCTCAGGGTGCTGAGTCAGCCCTGGGGCAGGAAAGGGAATTTCCAGCTGCCTGCATTGTGCGGACTGACACTGAGCAGCTCCCTGCGTGCTCGCTGCCTGCCGGGGTAGCCTTGGGTGCAGGGGAGGCACAGAGGGGTGGTTAAGGTGTCAGAGGCTGGATTTGGGATTGCTGCTATGGAACTTGCAGCTGCTGAGGTCTTCTTTGGAGTCATCTGACTTAAGTCAAGGAGATCCAGGTTGGTGGCTATCAAATAGCCTGTGCCAACAAGGAACTGGCCACAGGGCATGAAGCCTATGAATCCTGCAAGGCTGGAAGCATACAGCAATGTGTATGGGACATTGGGACAGTGTGGGACAGTACTGGAGCTGTGACTGGGTGGCCCTGCTGGTGGCCTGGTCCTGGAAGGTCAGCTGTAGGATCCTGATGGGGACATGGCCTATGAGCTCTGTCAGGGTCATGCTAAGCAGGAAGACAAGACACTGGATGTCTGTAGATACTTATCATGGGGGCTCCTGCCCTCTGGGGACACTGCTGCTCCAGGACCCTCACATGTCTTGAGGTGCAGAGCCAGGCCAGGGGCAGCTCTGGGCCAGCACCAAGATGCAGTCAGTCCTGCCTGTCTCATGACACCTGAGCAGCAGCAGTGTCCTCTCCTGCTCCTTGCAGATATCGCTGACCTGCTGCTCAGCA